GAAGTCCAAGAAGTACAAGTCAAAGCATCGAGAGGATAAGAATCGAGACACCGCCAGTCCTCCAGCCCAGTTGGCGACGCCAGGTGCCTCCAACTCCAGGAGCCAGGCTGTCAACGCTAGCGGTGGTGCGGACGGCGAGTTGGAGGAGGGTGAAGCGGCAGACGAGGACTTTGAGGAGGAGAGGATCCACGAGGAGGCTGAAGAGGGAGAGGAGAACGGCGAGGCGGAGGAGGGGGAGATTGCCTATCGTTCCTCCTCTTCCAAGAAGGCGCACAGCAGACATCGTCAACCAGAGACACCCACACCAGAAGACGGGGAAGCAAACAGCAGTCTGAGCGAAGACGATGCCTACACCAGTCGGAGCAGTAGTCGGCGGAGACGACGTCGTTCTTGATGCTGATGTGTATATGCCTGCTACAACATCTTGACATACCTTTTACCCAACCAGATAGCCTTTTGATCTGTCCTTAGGCAGAGGGGGGGATCTGCTCTGGTGGGTAATCATTGACAATAGTCTAGGTACGATGGGCCTGAAAGTGACGGAATAGGTGTTCGCCTAGACCAGAGGATTAGCTGGCTCCTCGTGATTCGGTGTGGATGGCTGCCTTCCATTGATGGCTTCTACTAGTCCTTTCCCAGCTCGAACCATACGATTATTTGCAAATGTCTGGGAGCTCTTCGCCATTGGGAAACTTCGATTTTGTCTTAGTCTATAATCAGTTCCGTTTTATTAAAGGAAAGATAATCAAACGCCTTTGAGCTATCTGTTGGTAACACGGTGGCTAAGAAATGCATCGATACAGCGGCAAAGGTCAAAAAAGGTAGTTTACACAATTGCAGACGAGAAGCGAGCGGCCGTCAGTTAGCCGAAAATAGTAAACATACGCGACTACTCGCTTATTACGAGTAGCATAACCGTACACGTAATTTAATTCGGGAATAGTTCACCGACCTACTGGCGATGCTAAATGACACAAGCCAGTAGGTGGAACCGAACAAAAAGAGCAGACTCTAATATTTTTCTTCGTTCTGCTAATCATCGTAGGCCTTATATGTTGCTAACCCTCATACACACCTACCTAAAACTGTGGTGTGCAACAGGGGTCATGAAAATTGAGAACCGGTTAAATTGCATGGGTTTTGTCGGGTGTGATTTATAACATGTAAATGTGACCAAAGCTGCGATATCGCCGTCTACGTTACGCCTTGTGTGAGCCCCCAAGGA